CATTTAAGACTCTGCTCTGTAATACTTTTCTCATTTGGGGTAAGGAATGAGCTCCTAGCTCACACCAAAAAAAAAAAAAAGTGTAAATATTGCAAAACAAAACCCTTCTTTATCAGATTCATAGGTTTCACCCTGCAGGATTTGGTCAGGGAAAATCAATGTTCCCTTGTGCTCCTCACTCACATACCTCCCAGCTTGCCCTCCGCAATGGGAAGCGGGGAATTGTTGAACGTGAATGCTGCCGAGAACTACAAGCATCCGATCACAAAGTCCAAGCTACCCACTTTACTGCACACTAATCTGTTTTACTAGTTGTATTATAGTGACAGAATTGTTTTCTGCAGCCTAGTTCAGATTAAGAAACTGGGGGATAAGACACATTAAAACTTCTGCAATATATATTGCCAGAGCCTCAGCTGGTACAAAACAGCTTCCTGGGGGAATTCAGCAAAAAGTGAAGGGCAGAAACAGTCTCGGCTGCTGGTTTTCAGTTTGAGTCTGAAAAAATGGAGCTGCTCTGGTGCTACAAGCTAAAGCCTCAGGTGGTCACTGTAAATCTGCATCCATGCTGTCAAAGTAAAAAGAGCTGCTCTAGTGGAGACTTGGGATGGTTCACCGAGTGTTTTCAGAACACAGATATTTGCGCTACTTATGAAACACAAACATAAGCTCTGTTACACAGCAGCCAAGCCTAACAGCAAGTCCCCACACAAGGAGCATGCCAAGGAAATGAGGGACTATCACTTAAGGGTGTGTACAAACAAATACTGTTGTCACTGAAAGCATCAGACCCTGCATACGCTGCGGGCAACAGCTGCCTGGAGCTCCTAGGGATAGAGGGGACCGGCTGGCTTGGTCAGTCCTCGTAGGACACATCCTGTGCTTGGATGTGCCTCCCCATCCTGAGTCCTGGCTCAGAGAGCCACAGCACAGGCACACAGCTGAACGCCGGCGATGGGACAGGAACACTACAGCCTTTCCCTAAGGCCAAGCAAGCAAACAGCAGAGCCTCTGCACGCTTCAGGAAAGCTTTTGATCCACATGCTTCAGGGACGCTTTTTGATCCAAATTGCTGCCATTCAGCGCTGATGGAGGTGAGGCAAGGTTGGGGCTTTCCTCTCATGGCTGTGATGCCCACACCTGACACCAGCAAATGCACCATTCACCCCCTACCAGCCCTCGGGCCTGATGCTTCACATAGGAGATACTCAACACCCCAACACGGCTCCTACATGGCTGTAGACTGCACCCCCCTGCACCTCCACACAGTGACAGTTCTACCTCACTGCTGATATGGGAAAGGAATGGGCAAGCTATGGCAATAATTACCTGGTTTAATAACTCCACTAGTTACACAGGACTATGTTGAACGCTTCCCTTGGCATTTTTGAAACTTCTTTTCAGGAGAGATCAGCAAAAAATCCAGTGTTAAACCATTCTCTAGCTTTTCAGCAAAGTAAATCAAGCTTTGCATGGGCATCTGAACAGCTCTAACAGGCACCGCAGCAGAGCGAGACTTGGGCAGCCCTGTTCCTTTGATGAGAATTTCCAAATCACTGGAGTCATTCATAAGTCAAACTGCTCTGGTGCTAAATGCTCAGTCAATCAAATGAGATGTGTTAAATACACTCCTGGGCACGTGTTCCATTAGCTCCATGTTCTGCAAGCTCCCATTGCGCGCCTGTCTGCAGCCACTGAGTGACGGTGTCTCAGCTCAGATCACTGCAGACAGGGTGATCAAACAAGCATAAATCTTATCTGAGAGCAGAGCAGAGGAGGAAAGGACTATTAAATGGACATAACTCTGAGCAACTGCAGGGCCAGTGGGAAGGTACAAAAGCACAATCACCTGCATTAAGTCTAAAAGCACCTAGATGTATCATCCCCCATATTACCATGTAATAGCATAAGGGAGAATAAGGCTAAAACTCCTTGACAAAAGGCAGGAGACAGCTGACTAGGATAAAAGTCTACTACAGTGTTCCAGGTACAGAGCCACTGGCTTGAAAACTTGGAAAGAGAAGAAAGCGGGTTGGAAAACCTGCAGACAGTAGAACGCAGAGGTGACCAGAGCAGCATTTTACCTGCTCCAGTGATGTCCTAACTTTAGTACCAGACCATGAAATTTACAGTAGCCTCCACTCATTTGCATAGTTTTGGCACCAAATACTAGCCATCTTTTTGACTTTCAAACCATGTAACTTCCTCAGACACTCATCTGCAGACAATTGAACACACCAAAGGCATGGGCTGCCTGCTTTGGTTTTTTTTCCCCCCACTTGACTGCTTCAGAGACATTCCACGTAGTTTACCCCAGCCTTTTAAAACAGCATTTAAGTGTAACCTAAATGACAAGTGGTCCTTTTGCCTGCCTCCCCATAGCAGTTTCCCTCTCCCACTACAACTCACTTGCTTCTGTTGATATTGATGGGGCTGAGGCAAAAGTGCTTTTATCCACATTTAATAACAAGCCCCAGTGGAAATCTATCTCCAAGAGGCAGCACTCCCCAGGGCTTGGGCTCAGCATCACATCAGGGAGGCCAAAAGTGTGGCCTCGGACAATGGCACTGGCTTAAGCTGTTTGGGTCTTGCCCTCAAAGTGCTCCATTTGTGGGTTCTCAAGCAGGAACTCAGCCCTTGCAGAGCTACTTTCTGTGGGACCAAACCTTTGCAGTGGGTTATGATAGAATGGATTACTATAGGCTCTGATTCAAGCATCTCTTTACAAACCTTTACAAAGCATCTTTACTTTCAGCTGTGCTCTCAAAAAACCACTACAATGCACTATTAAGGAAACAAAACAAAGCAAAAATCTCTGCTTTCAAGAAACAGCATATTTTCAGAATTGCCTGAACAGCCAAGATAAATATTGATAAAGTTTCCTGCAATTACAGAGCGTGGTTCCCATCTACCTCCCATTGCAGACTTGAAGGCAGTCCAAGTTTTTCACTGAGCCATGAAAGTGCTATCAGAATCATTTTAAGAAGAGCAGAGCTCTATGCACTGCTTTGCAACTGATAAGAATGATGGACTCTGGCGATTTCATTGCTGTAATTATAAGCTGCCACAAGAAACGAGCAGCTACTTCATTTATTGCTCCACTCCATGCTTGCCTTTGGCTGAAACCTAGGCCCAGCTATTGCACACCAGCCTGCTCTCAGGGTGTTTTCATTGATGCCCATGGAAAGCTATTCGATTTCTGAGCAGGAGAGCTCACTGCTACCATCAGCAACACACCAGGGTCAGGCCTCTGGATGCGCAGAGGCTTTATAGAGACCTCTGTGCCCATATTAATGAAATGGGCAATATTTTGGAAAGTAGCAAAGGTGCTGCAACCCCAACTGGAAATAAAGGGAATGTTAACATCAAACTGCTCATGGACCACAATTTCCAAGGCATTTAGAAACTTCCAAAAAGCCAAAAGGCACCCAGAGAAGTCAAAAGATGCCTGAACCCAGTAATAAATAAGGTGGGCATCAGACATGTTTGAAAATCCAAACCAACACCAATTTACCTCTGCAAAACTTCCCCTCAATCCCTTTAGGCTCCACGCATGACTCATTTCCCTAAAGGACATTGGAAACATGATCATAAAATGAACCTGTTCATAGTACCCATGCAGATGTCCCTCTGCCCTGTCCTAGAGCTTAGATTTCTGGCTTATTTCTGCCCTTCCAATGCACCACACAGCAGGCGCTGGTGCAGGTTTACTCACCGGCACCGTATGTCGTGGCCAACATGATGGAGGAGACCCATGCGACCTCGCTATAGGACGTGCCAAAGAAACCCTGGATTTCTTTGAAGAAGATGGCTATGCCTTTGGGGAATGCGTACGCGAAGCCGATAGACACGAAAGCACCAAAGACCACCGCCCAGCCCCAGCCACCATCCGGTGGGCTGGGGGCTCGCCTTGTGTTAGCAGGCGGTGGCATGGCTCCTCAGAAAGCCTGAAACACAAGGTGCAAAGGTGGAGAGTCAGTCCTAGGTCCCCAGTCTATTCCATATAACTGGTATCTTCATGTTAAATGGCAAAACAGAATGGCAGGGGTGCGACATTAGAAATAAGTAACCAGATTGAAGCTGCGATGCTGCTGCTTCACATCTTCAAGGTGAAACTGAGAATCACAGAATCACCTAGTTTGGAAAAGACCTTTAAGATCACCAAGTCCAATCTTTACCCCAGGACTGCCAAGACCATCACTCAACCATGTCACTATGGATCTCATCTACATAGTTTTTGAACACTTGCAGGGATGGTGATTATAGAATCATAGAATCATAGTTTAGGATTGGAAAGGACCTTAAGATCATCTAGTTCCAACCCCCCTGCCATGGGCAGGGACACCTCACATTATCCTTACTCCAAAACCTGGCCACCCTTTTGGTAAAGAAATTTCTCCTAATATCCAAGTTAAACCTCCCCTGGTGCAGCTTGACGCTGCTAGCCCTTGTCCTATGACTTGTTGAGAGATGAAGTTAATATACCAGTTATATGGCATAGAGCCTCCCGCATCCATGCTGGGGCTGGCGGGAGAGCAGGATGGTCCCATGTATGCACAGTGGAGGTGAATTAGAACCAGTGCACCACCCCATCCGTGCGTGTCCCCAGCCCCAGGACAGGCTGGGCTGCAGCCCCGGACATGCATGGACCCCGCACCCTAACGTGGCGGCACCCACCTGCGGAGTACAGCACGGACACGGAGCCCCTTGTGGCCGACGGGACGCAGTTGGAATGGCACAGGATGGTCAGGACAGGGCGGGCGAGCCGCCTGCACCGCCCCACATGGAACCAGCCTGCCCCGGCCCGCCGCTGGGTTCTACAGCCTTCCTGCTTGTTCCTTTCCCCTACCGCTTTTCCTGCACATACACACACACACACACACACACACACACACACACACACACACGCACTCCCAGCCGAGGCACTCGGCAAGCAGCCACAGTAATTTCTTTCCCTCCCTGTGTTCCCACCAGTATCCCAGCTCCGTTCTCCTCCTTACAAAGTCTCCGGCTGCTCTCTAGTCCCGTACCTCCACAGCACTGCAGCCTCACGGTCATCCACCCGCTGGTTACGTTCACCCATTCCATGTATATTCCGGCTTTTAGGTCAAAGTCTGTTTCAGGAAGCGATAGCAATGTTTGCCCTTGATGGAAAGTTGTAATTTTCGCTGGAGACATGCATCTTGCTCAACCTGCCTTAAGTAACAGCCCTTGGCTCTTGGAGGAACTCAGCCTCATGCCTTTCCAGCCCCAGTTTTGGACATTCATATGGAGCAGTTAGGTGAGTGTCAGCACCCTGTCACCTCCCACAAGAGACCTTCTTTCCTCTGTGTGTAACCAGGAAGACTGGGGAATGATTTGGGCAGATTTTACAAATCAATTTGGCAAAACACCAAATTATTTGCCTGCAAATAATCACACTGCCTGCATTGCAAACACAGCAGTTTCTTTCCAGTTCCCCCGAGCAGAGCTTCCCTTTCTGCCTTGGCTTCTCTGCATGTTCAGGCTCAGACCAACTCTTCCCCAATCTCCTATAAAGCTGCACTCAGCCTAACACTCAAAACCCCAAGTCACACCAGTTTAGTGTGTGGAAATGAGCTGGGTTTAAAATCTGTATTTAAAGTTCTGTCCAAAAAGATGGAGGTCCTCTGCATGGGGATGCTGGGAGCCTTTCCCAGGCAGTCCAGGAAGAGCAAATCCCTGCTCATGAGGGTCTCTGTGAGGTTTGGCCACTATCCTGTCTCACACCTTTCTGGGCCTGTACAGAGCTCTTCCCTCCCCAAGGAATGGGGGACGAAGCTTGTTGCTCCTGGCTGGTGTTTCTTCTCTAATCTTGAACTAACAACACAATTTTAACAGTGGCACCACTGTTGTTCAGGTACAACCATGTCAATCTGTGATGAAATAAGGAGCTCTGCTCCTCTGTATTTCCATCCTCCCTCCAACACTCTCAAAACAGACACTGCATTACTGTAAATCCTATTTTTCTACATACATAATTAAGCAATAATGAAGAGGAATGGGAAAAAAAAATAAAATCACTGCCTAACTCAGTAGTTTTCCTGGCACAATCAACCTAGAGCTTTAGAGATGCCCTTACAACACGTCTGTAGGATGTTTTATTACTACTATTTCTTTCTTCCTATAAAACTGAGTAAACTTAAAATGACCGGGCGGCCTTTACTCTCAGGTAGAAGGGCTCCAGGATGACCTGGAGAGTCTTGTTTCCATACAGCCCAGACCCACTTCATGGGCCATGAGGCTACCTACTTTTACTGCATCACCTCTACTATGTAGTCTTGCACACACAAAGGAGCAGAGTGCAGTGGTGGGCAGTCTGCCATCACAAGAGACAATTAAAGTCTCTCCAGCATGAAAGCCCTGCCTGCAGCTGAACAAGGGGATAAGCCCAGGGGACAGGGCTGTTTCCCTCTATTTTACTACAGAGGGATGAGGGTTTGGATTAGTGGAGTTTTTCCTCATAAACGGGAATAAGGTTTGTTTCAGAGGCTGGTTTCTGTGTTCTGCCCCCCCAAAAATAACAGCTCAGACCAAATACGCATAAACACACCAGAGACTGAACTCGGGCACATCCTCAGCAGCAAGTGTGGAAGGTGGGGAGGACAGATGGAAACACCCAGGAGCAAAGGGATGAAGAAGCAGCCATGACCTCAACTGGAAGATGGGCCTTTCCTTCCAACACTAAATTTAGTCCCATATTAAAGCATGTTCCTTCAGCAAACCTTGATATGACAGCTTCTGCATACATGTGCTCACAGGCTGGTGGCAAACTCAGAACTGGAGCAGGAAACCAGTTGCAGCAGGAGGTACTGGGGGCAGTCTGAAAACGATTACTCTTCGCCCTCATGATGCTACTCTGGATGCTCACAAGCAACGCACAGCATCCTGAGAGCAGAGGGTGGGTCTGATAGCCGAAACAGTGTGTTCCCTAGGTCAAAAAGAACTAAGTAGCAATGTGGGGAGGATTGGGCTCATCTCACAGTAGCTGCCTGCGTGAGTGCTCCCCCTCCATCCAGGGAGCAGAAGCACCCCCGGGGCAGGCTCCACTCACCCATCCACAGAGAGCAGAAGCTTCCTGCAGGGCAGGGTTTTAATTTGCTGGCAAGGAGCAATGAAATTGATTGAAATTGCAAATACCTTCTCCAAATGGCTCACTCCCCTATCGCAGTGCTCCATGTAAATAAGTGACTGCTATTGTGGTGTATTCCCAGTACTCCACTACAGAGCTGTCCAAAGAAGAGGGGCAAAGTGGGAGGAGGGGCCAGGAGCAAGGCAGAATACCAAACTCTTCCTCTCCCCCTAAAAGGGTCCATTTTCACTTCCGTTTCATAGGATCCTTCCTTCCCATAGAATCACAGAATTCTACGACTCTATGGAAAGGGCCTATTCCACAAACTTTGCAAAGCTTTCCACGACAGTTCCCATAGATATTTTAAGCCATGATTTGTAAAATCAAATGAACCAACATAATTCATTATTGAAACTTAAGCTTTGAGGAACAATATTTAAAACCCTAGAATGGTTTGGGTTAAAGGGACCTCATCCAACTCCAACCCCCTGCCACAGGAAGGGACACCTTCCACTGGACCAGGTTGCTCCAAGCCCTGTTCAACCTGGCCTTGAGCACTGCCAGGGATGGTGCAGCCACAGCTTCTCTGGGCAACCTGTGCCAGTGCCTCAACACCCTCACAGGGAACAACATAAGGTCACAGAAAACCAATTGCAAGTGTTGACAACTTGAGTGCTTTTTCTTTTCCTGGAAAAGAAAAAGAAAGGAAAGAAATGAGCTCACATGAGAATGGAAAGCATTTCTATTTATTCTCAAGTGCACCACTTTGGTATTTGGAAAGAATTTTGTTCAAAGCCTTTACGCAAGGCATTTTATTACAGCCAAAGGTAGGAGCTACAACTCCATAAGCCCAACAGTTTTCCTTCATTGAGTCTTTGAAAGTCAATTAAAGGCCTTAGAGATTGCTCCCACGTTAAAAAAATAAATCCATACCTAGCTCTGCTGCATGAAAACAGTGTCTGACAAATGAGCACCTAAACAGGCAACTCTGCGCTGCTTTAAAGGGCCTGCAATCCTCACTTCCATGGCACACCTGCATTTCTTAAAATTATTCCACTATCATCTTCCATTTGCCCATAAAATGCATCAGCAGTGAAACACAATCCATAACCACAGTTAAAATGGAGCTTCTGATTTAATGAATGAGATTATAAACAGCAATTGTCCAGAAAACCAAAGGGCTGAATGCCGTGGCCCAGGACATGATGCCATTACTCTCTTCTTAGGAGACAGATATCCCAGCCCTCTGAAAATAGGCCCATACATTTATTTTCCTAATAATCTTCTTAACTTTTTCCATAATAATATAGAGTGTTACCTGGGAAAAGGTTTCAATTCAGTAAAACTCTTGGCTCTGGACCCCAACCAGATGCAATCACAAAACACAGACCTGGGGAGAGATCAGTAGTACCCTCTCTGGCAAGCACCGAATTGCCCTCATACCTCTGCATTCTCCTCACCACAGAGCATGACCAGGCTGATACAACACATTCCTCAGTGTTTAGCCACAAGACCTCCAGCATTCATGGATTTACCACTAATATTTTTATACTCAAGGTTTTAATTAAAGGGAACCTCAGCTCAGCAGCTCTCAGAGCACTGAGCAGCAGGAAGGATGCGAGCAGCACCCCACCAATGCAGTACCTACACATGGTCCAAATGGGGCATGTGGGTCAAGCATCATCTACCTGCATCCCTTTACATCCCTATGGCTAGTTCAGGGGGAACTTGAATTTCTACACAACCTCTTCACCACTATGTAAGATGCTCTGCTGTGGGCAGTCACCAGCTCCATGTGTCCCTGGCACCATGTGGAGTCAAGGGATGTCGGTGCTGGCACTGCTCAGAACCACCTGGGATGCTGGCAGGGCCTCGTGGCTTTGCATTCCACTGAGTAATGTTTTACAAGGGGGTCAAGGAGAGGTTAAAACAGAAAGTTATGAAATGTCCAGCTTGCTTTTTGCTAAACCCCAGTATTAATAGCAAGGGGCCAGGCAGAGGGGCTCATACAACACAAAATAATCTCTCCAGAGCCAGCAAACCCCTCGGATGGCTCCAGCCCTGCATCCACACCATCAAAACAACCAGGTGCATGCAGCATTGCTGCTGGATGTGCTGCTTTCCTGGAGGTGATAAAATAAACTGAGCAGTGACATCAAGTTCTGCTGTTTTTCCCCTGTTGCAGGAGTTTAATCAGCAGCCCAAACCAAAACATTTTTGTTAGGAAAGAGATGGCCACAATTAATCTAAATCTAATAACTAGAACGTTTTCACTGGGGAATTAAAACAAATTATTCCTTTGCTATTGCATCTTCATCTCATTTACATTTTAATCCCAGTAGGATCTTCCTCTGTTATATTTGGAAAATGACTGCACAGAAAGGGAAAAACAACTCTGTTGAAGTACTCAAAGATGCATCCAGAATTTAGCTATTAGCTTTTATGGCAGAAGTCTGGCTATGCCAAGATGAGAATGGTTGAAAATTAGGACAAATACTGTGGTTTGTTCCAAACACTGCTGAATGCAGAGCCTGGTGGCATTTCAGCCTGTGCACACAAAGACAGACAAACAAAAGGTTGGGGCATAAGGTTGCGTTGAAGGTGTAATTACACATTAGCCAGAGCGAAGCAGGTTGCTCTTTCATTTGTACCAAAATGAAAGGGGACTCTACTGGAGATCACTGTGTGCAGAGGGAGCCTATGCCTTCCCACCCCCTGGTTCTCCACTTCCAGGAGGTGGGAGAAAACACTTAAGCCTTGTTTTCCTTGCTGTGAGGTTTCTTTGCAGGATAACAGGCTCATACCTTTTGACTCAAGGTAAATATGTAGTGAATAAAGGCACTTTAGTGTTGTCAAAGTAACATCAGTACTATATCCCATCTTATCCCAGTTTGCCTTACTACTTTGCCTGCTTGTTCTTGTTTTGAAGCAGAAGCACGCTAAAAATAAATAACCTACATTTCTGCCGTGTCAACGATGGGAAGTCCTGGTAAACACAAACTGTCACACACGTACCACCCTCCAGATCCCCCATCCTGTCACAGGGTAGCTGATCCCACTAAGGATACCAGGTTAAACCAGCAACAGAGGCAGCAGCTTTCTCCACCCCAGAGCAAGTTCTCTCTACTTTCAGCCAGTTTAGAGTCACTGTATAATCCCAGTTTTACCTCCAGTAATTATTTTCATGTGATCTTGTGCATCCCTTTGCTTAGGAAGATACGAAGTGATGGTAACATACCAGAAAGGCAGCAACCACACAGTCTAAGGTGGGAAGAGATGAGTTCATGCATCATGTGGTGTGGATAGCTGTGTGTAATATCACTCAAGGCTGATCAGCCTTCCATGCCCTTAACATGGGGTGATGTAATACACAGAATTACTCTAGGTAAACCCAGACAGGCTCCTGTGCCTGCTTCTTCTATGTTGCTTTGCCCTTCTGGCTGACCGTTGTCTAGCAGATCAAGCACGACGCTTTAGTATTAACTTTCAAGTTCTTACACAGATTGTTCTTTAGAAGCTTGTTGAACTATTGACACTGTACATCCCACAAGATCAAAAGGAGGAGACTTTCGGTCCAAGTGTAGTATTTGCTCAGGCTTGCTGTAATCCTGGCTTTACAGACTGACCTTCCCAAGAGCCCCCTAAGTGCAACAGAAATGACTCCTCATAAGACTGGCTTCAAGGATGCACCTGTTATCTAGGTTGTGTTTATAGGGCATTCCATCACTTAACATTCCTGGAGACCTTTGTGAAACCAAGAGTTTTTACAGATGCAGAATTCATTGCTAAAATCTCATCTGGTTTCCCCTTTCCCAAATGCCACGCTTGGGGCTGAAATTTGCCAGGTTCCTACTGCTATAGATCAGCAGATCAACCAATGAAGCTGAAAGGTGAAATCCTGGCTCCACTAAAGGTGATGGCAAGGTGCCTGCTGACTTCAGAACAGCCACAGTTTCATCCACTAATAATATTCAGTGTTTGTTGAAACTTTTTGTTTTAATTAGTCTAATGCAAAGAAACACATGCTGTCCCAAACGACTACTCATGTAGTTAGCTGTAGCATTTATGAATATCATAATACTAAAGTTGGGGTTTAAAGGTATAATTCTCCCCAAAGGGATCCATCCCTTGCATGTCCTCAACCACTCTGAGCAGGCTCTGCTGGTGCTTTCCTCCTCCTTCAAATACAATGTGCAGCTTCCCTGGATGCTACAGAATAGCTCTAGACTTATGCTGGTGTAGCTGAAAGGAAGATCAAACTGAGTATTCAATTACTTATGCACCCAAAGATATTTATTCCCCGAGATGAAACTCCTAAATCTGTTACTGCCAGTCCCTCTTCTATTACTATTCAGGTGCTGCTGCTTTCAGATCTATGGAGTTGTCAACACTATTTACTGGAAACAAAAAGTGAAAGATTAGAACATGACAGGGAAATGTTTAGAATTATTAATTGTTTGCACAGAAGAGGTAACTGATGTTCATTAATTCTAGAAGAGTGTAATTGCTACACAGGGATGCTTCCCAAGACTTTTTATTGTATCCAAGATCTATTTGTTTCATACTTTGAGGTTTTTGTTTCATTTTTAAACCCAGATACTACAGTGGGTAAAAACTGAGGTCAAGAGCAACAGCTACAAGACCACAGGACAGACCTCAGAGAGGAAAGGGGCTCTTGCAGCAATGTTTGTGAAAACACCAGACAAGAAGGGATGGGACCCCCCTGTCAGCACTGACTTCTTCACTCAAGGTCTATGTAAAGGTAAATGCAATGCTGCAAAGGAAAACTCATCTTGCTTCATAGCATCCTGTATTTTCCTCTTTATGCTGACACCCTCCTGTTGTTAGCATGTGCCATAGTTTTAATGATAGCTCTGCAGCAATAAGACTTCATAAAAGTCTGTATGTAAAGATCAATGAAGAAAACCACAGGGTTTATTCTGTAATGGCCTCAGCCCCCATCAAGATCACTGACAGAAGTTCTTTTTGGTATACTCTCCCCTGTATCTGCATCAGATGTTGAGGGCCCTAGCTCAGGGAATGTGAAAAATGAAAAGCCAAAAATCTCAACCAGTCAACTCAACCTGTCTAACGTTCAATGCTCAGTTTCAGACATCCAATTTTCAGAGGGCCGTGAAAAGCCACACTGAGGAAATGAAAAATGAGCCCTCTGACAGTGCCCACAGCCTGAACCTGTCCTCAGTCTCTCACCCAGTCTCTCACCCTGTCCTCTGTTAGCCCTTCTCAGTGCATGAAACCACCAGAGCCAAACAGCAGCCAGAAGATACACATTCACTGTTTCAAGGGGAAATAGGTGATCAATATAGCTGCTGATTTAATAACCCTGGAACTGAACCTTTCTGTCCATGTGCAGTGGAGACAATAGCCCAAAGAACTCCGCAAAGTCTCCTCGCTGCCTGGCCTCACAGCCAGATGTGAAAAGGCTCTTTCTAGTCACATACATCCCAAACCTTGAGCATGCCAATCATCCCTGGTGGGTTAGCAACACCGGCACCAGCCCGCTGAGACCCATTTAGTATCCCTTGACAAGGACTGGATTCAAATCAGCAAGTCAAAGTCGCTTGCTCCTGTGCCAGCTTTCCAAGGCATGCTGTTATCTTGGGAATCGCACGCGTAATAACACAAGGCATGAGTTGTCAAAGGAGTACACACAGGTTGTCCACAGAGTCACAGGTATTCCTCGCAGCACTGACAGAGCAATGTGTATCACTGTTCCAAGTGCCAGACGAGCTCTACAGAAATTTTCCCCTTTCAACTTAATCCATCCGTATCAATGACAAAATGTCTTTTTTTTGCCATGTAAAACCAGTTCCTAAAATACATGAGATAAGTGTGCATGACTTCTGTACACAGGGTGCACCCCTGATGTCTACAGTACGTGACCCAAGAAGCCTCCAAACTGCACCTACCTGAAAGCAAGGGGATACTGAGAGGATCCCTCCATCTACAACTTTGTTGTAATAGTCTTTCCCAAAGTGTGCATCCATGACCTCATTTGAGAAAGAATACGGGTTTGGGTAGATGTGATTTGGTGTGACTGCTCTTGTTTTCTTCAAGTGTTAATCCTTTTACCTTTCACCCTTGCAAAACAAGCTAAGAGGATCTAAGAGCCAGCTAAGAGCCCAGAAATAACCCCCAAACTCACAAGCATCATGACCAAAAGCAAGATGGTCCTCTACTAACCATTAACAGCAAGATACACACCAGCGTCTCAGATCAAAGTGACAGACTGATACCTGGCATCAGTATGCAAGGGAAATATCCCTCAGCATATCCACTCGAGGATTTAATTATGAGGACAAGCAGTACCTTCACAACACCTTTGTGCAACAGCAACTTTTGCAGCCAAGGTACAAATACCCAGTGAATCTTTTAACTTCAAGTAACTGGTGGGCACATTTGTTCTTTCAGAAAAAATCAGCAGAGGCAATCATCATCCCTTAATAAATTATCTGCAGCAAAATATTAGCAAGAGAATTAGGGAAAGACATACTTGTATCCTGTCTCAAGATTTACATGCATGTTCACCAAAGTTTTGAGTATCCGGTATCATGAATGCAAGCAACACATTTATTGTTTCAAACAGAAAGCCAACAGTAGGAACAGAACTAAAGACAGTACTAAATATGCTGAAATAACTGCCCAAGACTCAATCCCAACATGGCCTCTCCCCACACATAGCAAGACTTCTGATGAAATAACAAGAATTGATGGCATCATACACGTCAATAAAATACTCAACAGTAGTGGTTTTCTCTGTTTTGCCAATGCATGTCATCAGAAAACAGCCAAACTTGCAGTTAGAGCTTTCCAAGAACTTTGTCAAAGAAATATATTCTCCCCTACCAAGGGTTCCAACCTCCTCTTTTCCAAAGAAAAATATGGTCTTGCCTCACTTACCTCCTCCGTAGGTGGTAGCACACATGATGGACGTTACCCAGGCAATCTGGCTGTAGGAGATGCTGTAAACAGCCTGGAGCTCTTTGAAGTAGATTGTGAAAGCTTTAGGAAAGGTATATGCAAACCCAACTGAGATTGAGGCTCCAAACACCACTGCCCACCCCCATCCGCCATCAGGGGGTACATAGCCCAGGTCCGAAGAGACTGGAGGAGACATGGTCAATCCAGATTTCAAAGCAAAATCTACTTCACGCTGTCCTGCAGGGCAAAGGATATGTATGTTTTACAGAAGATGCATACTGTGTAATCACACATTATTTTAAAGCATAGTGATATAATTTAGAGGTACAGAGGATCACCCACTCTTGAAGCCTTGATCTTTTGCTGTTGTGCAGTTCTAACACAACCAAAATCACCCTTCCCTCCCAATAACCCTTCTACCAGTATTTTAAATATACACACCCTCAAAGTTCTCCCACAGCTTCCACCTCCAGGGACACACCTCATTCACAACTGAAGTTAAAGCCTCTGCTTTCTCTTCTCTCCTGTATCCAGCCAGTAGTTTGGTGTCTCAACTCAGGAGTTGGCTGCTGGAGGTTGCTCCTGCAACAGTCTCACCAGAGAGAACCAGATGATGCAGTTGTAGTGTTTTTAGGGTAAATGCCTCATTGTGTATTTTTCAGATGTGGGTGGAAAACATTATGATTTTGTGTTATCCCTCCTTAAAAGAATAATTCCCATTATGTGAACAGCAGAATGGCCCCACAGCATGTCCAGCTCTCCTGTTCTGCAGGGGGACAAGGCTCTCTTGGCTGTTCGTTTCCGTCAAGCCAACAAGCAACATGTAAGCAACTGCTTGCAAAGAGGCTGAGGTTTCTTTCTACTTAGGGGCAGCAATTCCACTTGTGCCTGGTGCCTGCCAGGTTAGCAGATTATGCTCAGGAGCAACACAGATCAAAGAGGGCATTCACTCACTTGCATTCTTCCCATTTTCCCTGGCCATTAAAATAAAATGAGGGTAAAAGGAAAAGCACCACCTCTCGGGAGTTAGTCCATAGGCCTCCTGTCAAGGTCAACGCATTAAACCAGAGAGGAGGAGGTACCACAGCAAGGAGTGCCACGTAGGTGCACCTGCATCTTTGTGGATAAAAGGTGATTTATTATCTTCATATACTGCAAACTCAGAAGCTGAGAAGGAAAAGGCATCATCAGAGCTAATGGGAAGCAGCAAGTACAGATAATCAGCTGGACACATTTTACTGAACCATAGAGGCAACAGTCAGCTAACTGGGGAGAGAGGGACCTTTGCTCATCTTGCAAAAAGAGAGGAGAAAAATTCCAGAACCTTAGGAAAAGTTAGATGCAAATTGCATCTATCTGAAAGTGCACTGCCTCTTGAGAGATGTAGTTTGGAACCAAACTGTAAGTACAGGGACACTACTGGAAACATAGAGAAATAAAAAAAACAAACAGTATTTTAAGCTGGTAGGTATAGGTTTATGAAGGTATACTCCTGAATTCATGCTTTCTTTCATCTGCTTTTACAGCTGTTGCTCCAAGGACTTCCTGGCAAATGCACAGGTAAGAACTATTCAACTTTTAACATACAGGAAAACCCCCATGGCCCTAACCCCCTGTCCAAAGCAGTTGAAGAAACCCTAACTGTACTGGAGAAAACATTGGTCCAAAAAGCTCCTATTTAATATATCCAGTCTTTAATTTCTACTTGGATGAAATCCAGGGTAGCAAGTTGCTGGGTTTTCTGAGATTTCATTGCTATACCAAGAGAAGGCCAACTAAGAAGTCTTTTACTGCAGCAAAATAATAAATAATATGAAAATGTCCTGTTACATGATGAGGGATGCTACGGTACAATTTCAGCAGCAAGACAGATGGCACTTGCAAAGTTTCTCCTGTTCTGATATTAAGTAATAAAATAGTCTCATGGAAATTCATGGAACATTATTTCCCCATTACTGGCATTCAGAATATATGGAACAAGTTATTCTGGTGAAGAATCTATCATCCCTCATCATTAAAGTTTTACCATAGAAAGAATAGTTGTCTTTCAGAATTAACTATTCTTTGTTACCATAGGTGGGATTTTAAAAGGAAACCTAAATTAAAGAGTAATAGTGGTGATGTTGGAATGACTGTCCATTGACAAGATGTTTAAGAGCTTTTATTACTTATCATATTTGCATTTCATTGCACTGTTTCTTTTATCTATGCTTATTCTACTCAATTTAAGCTACCCAAATATTAGAGAACACCAAGCTCACAAAAAACCATTGACATATCCTCATGTTTTTGAAATCAGGCAAAGTAAAATTGATTAAGGGGTGAGCATTGTGAGGACATGTTCCCTTATTTAACATTATGTTTGGTATTCACAGTCTACCAAAGTTTAGAATATGCAAAACTTCTCGGGCACCTCAAATTCATATCTCTTTTGGCAGCCCTTTAAAAAGGTCGAGCCTGAACTTCCAATATATTTTCAGGGATTAACAAGAAAGGTCATTTTTTTATTACCACCAATTCATTCCTCCTGTAAAACCTTGACTAATTGTGCACCACCTTTAAAAGTCTCACAAGATGAATATATTTGTTCACTGAATCTCATTTTCTGTTTAATGGGAGATTTATTAAGAATACATTAGCATAAAATCAGATTCTGGTATCGGTTTCCTTGTCCAGCTTTTCTTTATCAAGGCAATTTCTTACGTAATACAGAAAACCAAAGAGAGGAACTGAAGATAAATGAAAACCTAGTGTACACTAGGAAATAAAAACCATATAAACTGACTTTTACTTCCCTGACTGTAAAACAAGTCTTCCAGAGGCTGGCCTGGAGGAACTGAACTTTAGGGACTATTTTAACAGTTTAATAGCCTGAGCAATAAACAGTAATGGGAAACATCGATACTCTCCCTCACGTCTCCTGTGGCACCCCCATGGTTTGTGGGGACAGCAGCACTAAGGAGGGCACAGGACCATCCTCTCATGGGATATTACCCCTTTCAGTTACCATGCTCTCAGCCATGTCCTTGTCACCTTAAAGTTCCTCAGCCCCAGCCCTCGTGTTCTATAGGTTTGTTCTTCATTACCATGTGGCGTCACAGCAGCTCCTTCTCCAATATCCACTTCAAGGAAAACTTTTGCATTTTGATTTTCCTTTTTAATAACTGTTCTCTAAACTGTTTGATTTCCTCCTGGAAGCCCCTGTTTTCTTACATCAGTGCCCTCGCTTACCCTTACCACGTTTGGGGTTTTCCTCTGCTCAATATTGCTCAGGCCCTGCTACACCACTGAAATAAAATTACAGCCCTATAATTTTCCAGGTCTTATTTAAATGAATGGAAGCATTACAGTTCATTTGCTGTTCTCTAGTTACATTGTGCATGTAATTTCATTTGTCAGGTCTCTGAAATGACCCCAACCTTGATCGCTTCTCTTTCCTTTACTCAGAAAGCACTGAAAACTCCACCTCTTAATTCACCTTTCACTGGAGCAGAGGAAAATCGTGAGAAAATTGCCTTCGTATAGACATGGCCTGACTCAAGTTCACTGGTAGGCTCTTTCCTTTTACTAATGTTTCCTTTTTTTACAAAGTTATACATGTCTGGAATTCCCATTTCTCCATCCACCATTCCCTATAGGCTTCCTGCTTTATTCTTCTTACTTTTTTAGACCTACTTATTCTTGATCACATCTAGATACTCATTATCCACTATTTTTTCCTCCTGTTTAGGAAACTAGATAAAGCTATTATCGACAACTTCAAAATAAAGAAATTCAGGTCTCTTGCACAATCAAGGCCCTCACATCTCAATCTTGTTGATATTACCATCTTCTTAATTTGTTGAACATTTTTTTCTTTTGGAACCAACATATACAATCACAGTCCTCCATTCTGTAATTAAATCAACTGGGGACTATTCTTAGACTATACAATTACTTTCTATATTTGTTTTATTTGGTTGGGTGTGATTTTTTGTTGTTAAAGGACAGCACCATGACAAATCAAACCCAAGCCTAACGCAGCTTCACCTGTCTATACAAGGACTCCCTTGGTTTCCCTCAACCCAAGCAAGTCACTGCACACCATACATACATACAAACTCACTGACCACTGTTCAGTGGGATGCTCTCTCTTCCGCAGAGATGGGTACCACTGGGACTCTCCTTCCTGTGTCTCTCCTGTTTCTGGCTCCCCTGGCAGTGACCTGCTCAGCTTTTAAAACCATTTGCTGAACTCTTCCCCCACCCCAGATGCAGCAGAGATCAAAGGTTGAGATCAGAGGCTGTATCCTCAGATACAAGACCTTGCTGTAACTCGCAACACCCTTTCCCACCCAACCCCTCAAGCTGTATCCAAAGGCAACTACATCCCACATTAACTAATATTCCAAGGAACAGGGATGGCCATTTGCCTACCAGAGACAACATGAGTGCCAGCTCCCCATTTGTAGTGCTTGGAATGCTGGCCTCTCACATCTCTGTTGATATTTATAAATTACTTGCCAGATATCCTTTTTCCTTCCTTCCTCTCTTCCTTGTACATATTAACTTATTCTTTCTTCACACCACACTTCTGCAGGTTCTGCTCCCATTCTCTCCTCTGGGGGCATTTGCATACAGAGATCCCTTATCTTTGCCTATCCTGCTGTAGGAATTTTAACCTCCCGCCTGAAATTCTCTTTCACAACATCCAAGTCACCTAAAATCCTGCATCAGACTTATTTTGATCACTCAAGAGCAAAGGGATTCACAGACCACAGCAACACTTATCAAAGGGTCAATTTCACCCAGGAGCGAGGGGAGGAGGATATGCAAAGTTCCTGAATTTCTTGCCAGTAAACAAGTGGATGACTTGGACAAGCGAGCAATGTCCACAGTGTGAGTCCACACTTTGTGGAGGTTTAATATAACCCAATTTCAGTAGGAATGTTTCCACAAGACTTAGGTTGCAAATCCCCACTTGAGGGATTTAAAACATTCCCCTGGCATGTTTATAATCCAGACGTTGTAATACACTACTTAAGCACAAGAAAATGCAGGAATCAAGCTGACTGTAGACAGGTCAGGGTAATGTTCTCATCCAATCTAGTACAAAACGCAACAGAAAGGTAAATAAACACAGAGAAAAATAATATATCCAAGCTAACTTTGCTTTCATCGACCTATAAAAAATTGAAATGTGAAGGACTAATCAGATGGCTCTTTAATACTTGCTCTCCATATACCATTTTTGATGTAAAATGTGGCGCATCTCTTATTTCTTTCAAGAAAAAACAAAATGCAAGTTTCAGAGTAAATACTATTTAAGCACTTCACTTACTGGCTGTGAAAGAAGGTTAATCTGATATTCACCAAATAGTCCTGCCCCTCAACTTTCCAAAATGCCTGAAGAAATCTGTTGCTGAAGGAATATGAACAGAATCAAACTAGAAGGGTATAAAGCAATTCAAAATTTAACTGCAAGTATTTTCCCACAGCTGATGTATCACATACCAACTTGACTTCAAAACAATAAATCTCATAAAATTTAGAATTGAGTTTACAAATAATGAAAAGCTATCATTAAAAAAGAATCAAAAGTTGGCACAAACCAAGTGTACAGTTCACACATCTTCCATTTGCACGGGACCTTGCCAGCTTTCTGCAATACTAACAGCTGCAGAAAAGAGGTCATGTGCAGGTCCTAAGGATATATGGGAACACAGAGAGCATTCCTTAAAATGGACTTATTTGGTACTATTTTGGTTGATGTTTTACAGATATGTTACCATTGCTAGTATTCAGTGACACTTGAAGATCTAAATAAGCACATACTGTCTTTTAAGAGGTCAGACTCCACACTTTGAAGGTGGTAACTGAGACTGTAAGGGCACAGCCTCCTGCCCCGTTAACCTGTTGTGGCTGTGGGGCCACAGCACAAAGCAGCAGGGCTAGGAGAACCTGAGACTCACTTCTAGAGAACTGCATGCAGCAATGGTCCTTCCATGCTGAGGTCTCACCCTCACTCAGGTACTATAAAGAGTAGGACACAATGCTTTACCTATTTCCCTTTTGCCCCTCTTCATGCAGATCTACATCTTCTTTACTCGAAAACTTACATATTGGAAACTGCCTAGTCCTTCAAAAAGAGTCAAACCCAGCCAACTCTTCAAGAGGGGATTTTAGCCTGTTTTTCCTTGAGGAAACACAGTATTTAGTTTTATTGGGTTTTTTTTATGTACTCAATTACTCTCACTATCTGCTACCACATACACCTCAACTTCTGAGATGCTGTCTGGTTTAAATTACATTTTATGGAGGGCCAAAGCTTTCAAAGATGTGTAGTCTGTACAGGTTTTGTGTGCAATTAGTTGGCTAGAACAGAAGGAGATCATAGACTAGTTTGGGTTGGAAGGGACCTTAAGGCTCATCCAGTTTCAACCCCACTGCCATGGGCAGGGATACCTTCCACTAGACCAGGTTGCTCCAAGCCCCGTCCAACCTGACCTTGAACACTGCCAGGGATGGGGCAGCCACAGCTTTTCTGGGCACCCTGTGCAACTTCCTGCAGGGGGGAAGCTGACAAACACAACCTTTGTTATGGTTCAGAAAACCTGCTACAGAGAGACACATTAGAAATCAGTTTTGCTGCTCCCAAAATAACTCGTTAACCTGTAGCTTGATCACACAAACTCAGCCACAGTTAATAAATACCTGCCTCTGACAGTGGATATTTGCATTATCATTTGCATAAAGTACAGAAATCAGCAGTGAGGCACATGGGATCTTAACTAGATGTTAAGGAAGGGGTGAGGTTCAAACTTTGAGGCAGAGAGGGGAGTACATGTTGCACAGAGGTAAGCAGATAGCAACGCCTGGGTGGTTATTTCTCTAGCTTCTGACAGCATGAGCACCCAGCTGCGAGATATCCCCTGCACACAGCATATGGGAGTGTACTTCTTAGTAACTTTGGGGCTGTGAAAAACCAGGGCACAGATTCATGAAAGTCGAACAACCCTGGTGGATTATTTCATTTAAGTAATGCTACTTTACCTTGGGGTGTACATGTGTGTTCCATTCCTCCAGCAAATGCTTCCAAAATAACCTGTCTTGCTTCCCTAAGTATGTCTGAAAGGGAAAATCAAAATGGCCAGAAAATAGTTCCACCCCCTCCCAGGACAGAAAGTCTTCACAAGTGCCCATATATTTCTCTCATCAAAAAATACATCAGAATTTACTGTAGTATCCAAAGAAGGGAAATCCTCTTTGACACTTAGAGGGTATAATAATTTGCAAAACTGCTCCCTTAGTTAGCCATGACCCTCAATATACCTGAATAGGTCAACTTGACCATGCAAAGTTCTCATTCATTGCATGCCAAGTGTTAGAAGGATTTCATAAGAGCACTGAGGGCCAGTTCATTTATCATTTTTTTTTTTTGCCATGAGAGCAAAAGGGAAATCAAAGAAGATGGTTGAACTGCTTCTGTCCCAGTTTTGGCTCTGGTCCCCCTCCGTGGCCATTACAAACCAAGAGTGGCTTCCAGATATGTCTTAGAAAGTTCAAGCCTACCTCCTCTGTGCTGGCTTCATCATTTTCTTCTGCTAGGTCTTCAAGGGGACACATCCCTGGTTTGTGACAGAGCAGTTGCAGATCTGGACAGGAAAGTAGGCAGGCAAGTGGCGCCTTTGCTCTACTGGCTGTTTACTCCAAAGAGATCTTCCCAGCAACAGAAGGCTGCAAACAGAAAAGATATCAAGACTGTCCAGTACATGCTGTCATAGGTTGGAAGAAAGTAGCTCACCTATGAAGAACAATGCTGCAATCACATAAAATAAACCAGTGACTACAAAAAGAGGCCAGGACCCATGGGTACTGCTCTTCAGTACAACTGGAGAGAATGGAAAATTCTGAAACGGTGACCAGGAGCATGGATCTCCTAGCAGAAACTCACCCAAGGCTAGGATCATCATGCAGAAGTCTCCAGACATGTGGGTACTGCAATGCATGGCTCATGAGCAGTCTTCTGTGTAGCTCAGGCAGCCAAGGCAGCCTGACTCACCATCCATGTGTGCAGAGCTCATCTGTAGATACACCACCACCACTAGCCTGGATGCTGATTTTTTTCTGTTGTGAGCAGACTACCAGGTGAACAGCCTTTAAATCACAACCAGACAAGTTTACAGGCTGGAGGTGAGGGGCTGAGTGGGTGGGAGGGTGGAAATAACACCTGCAAGAACTCAATAAAAGGGGTACCTTCCCAAACAAGAGAATTTCATGTTTTCCTAGCCTGCAATGACTGAGCATCATTAGACAGTCCCTGAAAGGGAACAAAGGTTCTCAAATGAAGAGTATAATTTACAAGCAGATGTGCTAAGCACTGTCAGTACATCAGAAGCCACATATAAGGCTGGAGTTTTGTTTAAACAGCTAGGGGAAAAGAGGCTTCTTGTTCTCAGCAATGCAGTAGACTCCTTTGCAACTAGCATCACTGTACTCTCCACCTCCCTTTTGCCACCTGGGAAGGTTCCTTACTAAGGATGTTGGGAAACTCAGTATGAAGCATTTCAGGGTTTTCCAATGTGCAGCAGTATCAGACTGGAAAGCCCTACTTGACATTCCTGCTGTGATGACAGCTCCAGGCAAAGGCAAGGAGGAAGTGAAAGGGAAAGATGATGTCACCTGCATGTAAGCAAATGAGAAGTTAGACCTGAATAACAACAAGGAGACAGCAAAGCAGAACAAAGCACCTTCCACCCCAAGTAACAGCCTTAAAAAGAAAAGGAAAAAATGACATAGATACATTACACACAATTAGAGAAACAACTGAACAAGCATCAAAGCAATGTATCACTGGGTTAACTTGCAGAAGTTTACTAAAAAGCATGCAAGAAATGTATCACAAAGCCAGTTGAACTCAATTGTATTTCAACAATAGGTTTATTTTAAGAAACATAACATGACATTAAGTAAAAATGCAAAATTGTGCAATTATGGCAAAATGTTTAAAAATCCACACATTTGCCCTCATAGGACTACAGTACTTCTTACTAACATACCTGAGCACTGAATGTTGGATGCCATTTCTAAACAGCCTTACGAACAGGGAGCTCTTCGATTTCTTGTAGAACATACACACACTGCATGGTTGGTGCACCAGAACTGCTTTTAGTTAGGCTAAATTTTACTGATGGAATCAAGTGTAAATTACAAAATGTTGCCTTCTAAAGTAACTAAGAAGTCTGGAAGAAGAGATTTACACGCACAAAGTCCTCACAATGCTAGAAATTCATTTAATAAAGGGCAAGAAATGAATGCAGAAAAAATACCAAGTGGGGGAAAATGTACAGATTACTGTTTAAATATTATCAGTACCTTTGGTGCAATTACTTTTTTCTCTTGTGCTGTGCAAGTTTACTTAAGCCTGACTCTAAAGCAAAACTTTAGCAGGAATCTGACTTTCAGCAAGACGTAGAAGCATTTAAGAATTGGCAAAATGTCACAGCTACATTACTGTCTCAACAAACTCCTCATGCAAAAAGTTTAGTATATTCTACTCCCACAGCAAGTTCCAGGATTTAACTTTTAAACACATAACAGACTTGGATCACACCCTCAGTTTGAATGGTTAAACAGAATGGAGATCTTCGTACTTTAGTGCAGATAAAACAAAATGAACAAACCTACTGTAGAATTAACCACAGCATATTGTACTTCTATACATCACATGACCAGTCAACTGCTAACTCAATTCTATTTCATAGTTTCAAGTAATATATTGAAATTTGTTCTACTAAATAAATATAGATTGTCAAAAAGCAGCAAGAAGTCTTGTAAATATTCAACCAAGCTTAAGAAAACCCAAAACAACAAAAAACCAAAATCAACCAAAAAAAAAGAGAGAAAAAAAATGTACATAACACTTTGCAAAGAAATGGTTTTACACATAAATGCAACACTGTTAGGGAGGGTGCTTCAGAAAGCTTGCAGCTAGAGGCCTACAACAGAGCAAAGAGCTAGCCAAGGACTAAGCGTAATTGTAAAAACGAAGCCAGTTGCCCTTTAAAAAAAAACACCAACACTCTTATTCTTGGCTATGGATACACTGAAAACAGTATCCAGAGGAAAACTAAACAAAAAAACAACACACCTCAACACTGTTGGAAAATGCA